TACTCAAAAACCTTACAACAACAAAGTGCAAAACAAACCTACTCATCAACACTTTCCTTTGTCTTCCTCACTCACTCACTCACTCATTTTCCCTCTCTTTCTCTTCATCTCATACTCCTTTTCTTCTCCAATTCAAAAACTATAGAATATGGAAGAACAATGCAGTAGCTGGGCTTACTACTACCAAGAAGAGGTAACTTTCTATTTCATTTCTCCTACATTTTTATTTATTTTTTCCCCCATTTTTATGCACTAATCTTGGGTGCATTTTGCGCTGTTAGGCCGTCGACCAATTGAAACAATCCCTCTTGTACTCGACTCTCGAGCTGGAGGCAGCTCTCGTCTCGGCTCACGACGAAATCTCGAGGAAAGACGACGAGATCCTCCAGCTCAAGAGCCTACTCGCCTCCGTCATCAAAGAAAGAGACGAATTCCACGCAAAATGCAACGACCTCGCCCTCGAAAAGCAGCAGCTCATCCTCCAACAACAAATGAATATCCCGACCGAAACCCTCCCAATCTCGAGCAACAACGAAGAAGACCACAACAACACCACGGACCGCTGCACGTCCGATTGCTGTGACGACAACCTCAACATACTCTCGGACATAACCGAGCGGGTCGCGGTGAAAACTCCCCTGCCGGAGCAGGGGAGGTTCCTGCAGGCGGTGATGGCAGCGGGCCCGCTCCTCCATAGCCTCCTCCTGGCGGGCCCGCTTCCACGGTGGCAACACCCGCCACCTCAGCTCAACTCCGTCGACATTCCCCCGGTCGTGATCCAGTCGACCAGAATCGTGACTCGGGACTTTTCGCCGAGTCCCAAGTATCAGAGAGTTTGTTCACCACCAGCAATCATCAATGAACTGAAAAATTAGACATAATTTAATAATATGAACCCCTCCATTGCATGATTGATATATATATATATATAGCTTTAGTTAATATCCAAGAATATTTTTGAGTGTTTTTGTAGGAGTAGGTTCCCCTGCAGCAGCAGCAGCAGCAGCAGTTGTGGAGTTTTAGGCAAACAGAAATCTAATCCTCTGCAATATTATTGCTCCAGGTGATGATTTGCCTTGGAATTTGTGGGAATTAAGATGCTAAAATTAAGTAAGGTTTGTACATTTTGATGATTTTGTGTTAGGATTTAGGAATGAGGAGTTTTAACATATTCTAGTGGGGATGAGAGAGAGAGAAATGTGTGAAAAGGGCTCAATCAGCCATTTTTTTTTAGTCTTTTTTTGTAGTTCACGGTATTTGTAGCTTTGCCCCGACTAATCCGTTGGTCGACCCGGGTTGCACATCTAGCAATGGTGGGTGAGTCTTCCAACAAGGATTTTCTGCATTCACAAAGACTCGAACACGAGACCTTGCTTAAGCGGCTTCAAGCTGCTTACCACTTTAGCCAACCTTGTTGGTTTTTTTAGCTTTTGTTGTTATAAGCTTTGGGTTGGGATGGAGACTTTGAATTGGTCTTCTTCTTCCTATTGGAGTTGGTCCAAATTTGTAATTTTGGCCCCTAAGGATATTATTATTAGATATGGGGCCCAAGAAATTCTCCAAATTGTGGTGGGGAATTTTGTGTGAATTGCATAATATCTCTATGCTTTTTTTTTTTAATTAATCTTTATTATATTGGAGAATTAATTATATATAGATATTGGTGTATCTTGGTAGATTGTTATGTTTGTGAGGGAGCATTCATCATTTGTCCAATGGCTTTATTTTAGTGGAATTAATCAAAGCTGTTGCCTTTTTGGTATGTAGTGACAAGGAATTATTTATTTTTATTTTTTTTAATTTAAATAATATGTGACCTTAACAAGCAATCCAAAATATCACCAAACTTGCATAGCCTGTCTGCCATGAAAACTTACATTGGATCCCCCTTCCTCTATCATCAAAAAATATGCTTTACTTATAATCAATTTCAAAATAGTTGTTTATTTCTTCAATTTTTAATGAACTGATGATTATTAATCAAGTATTGTAGATCCTTAAGAAAAGGAAATTCATCATTAATTTATTCTTCATGGGCCTATGAATGAACATCATATAAAAGGAATGAGAGGAATGATATAAATAGAATGGATTTAGATTGGATTTATTAGATAAATTGAGTTAATTTTGAATATAGTTGATAGTGGAGGATTGGATGAAAGGTTGAGTTTGTGGCATTGTCAATAGAAGCAATTGTAGGAGCTTAAATTGCTTATTTGTATTATTATTAATTTTGTATCGTTGGAGTGACTTTACTGCGCTTCGCTTCGTTTGTTTGGTCGAAAACAAAAAGAAAAGTTGGAATGATTAAAATTGATATGATGTAAAAAGTATGAGAGAAGTTATTGAAAGTGATAGGTAGTAAAAACATGTGAGTTGATAATTAGTCACTACAAGAAAATGATAAAATTCCAATGACAATTCTAATGGATATATTTGTTGATACCCAATTTGGCTCTGATTAATTAAATGATAAACGAAATAATAAAATACTGCCCGATAATCAAGGAGCCGAAAATACGTAATAAATAAATGTACAAACAGGTTCTCAAGACGGATCACCTGAAAGCCGATCGGATCCCTCGATGTCGAGTCCGCCCACTGCCGAGTTGGATAGAGTTCAAAGTAATCAGATGGCCCACATACCATGAAGAAGCCGCCTTTGATAAATGCGACAATTGCCGAGAAGACAGGCGTCAATTGGAACTGTCAAAAGTTATAAGCAGGCCCCACGATAATTATCTCGATGTACCTATCTTTTGTTTATTTAATTACCGGCTTGCAAGAGAGGGGGTATATATGGAAGAGAGGAGAGAGATAAGGGGGATTCATGAATATTTCTTCCCTTCTCCCTACAACTCAAAAAAGAGAGTAAAATTCTCCAAAATAATAAAAGTAAAACACCCATTTAATCATCTTATTCTTCAATTTCTTAAAGAGATTCGACTCATTTTCAACAGTTGATTGTCCGATTTTCGACATCAACAATACCAATGCTATTATTTTGTTAGAATTTTTATCCGTTGGAATGAATATTGGAATTTTCATTGGATTTTAGCGATTCCAACAGTATATTTTCCAACGGGGGTGGAAATAGAAATTCCAACAAAAATTGTATATTCCAAAGGAAATTCCTACGGTAAAATAGTCGTTTGAATCATTAAAATCTATCTAGAATTCCAATGAAAAAATTATTACTACGGAATATTTTCGTTAGAAATATTCCAACAGGAGCTATACAATTGGCATATCCGTTGGAATTTCAATTAGACAATTAACGTATGATTTTATGTTTTTTTTTTGGCCGAAACAATAGGAGTATTATAAATTAAAAACACACAACAATGCAAAGAGCAGCCCAAGGCTGAATTACAACCAAAGACTAAAAATTGGAAGGACGGATCGAAAGACCGCCTAGAGCCTCGCTAGCATGCTAGAAAAGAAAACACATGACACACAACTAAAAGACACCAACACACCAACTACAAATGCTCCCCACAAGAGAATATGAAACGCCCCCCACAGGGGAATCAGTATCGAGGCCAATGTCCCAAACCAAAAACACGATCCTACCACACAAGACAATAAAAAGAACAACTAAAAAAACACACAAGTACAAGCCCTGCCTCTACAGCAATTCCTAACCAGACAAACAGCCACAAAATCAACCCAGGAGAACCCAACGCTTGAGATAAACGCCCCTCCATTGCAATTAAGCCTAGCTGGACGCAACTCAAACCACGAGACCCACCTGAAGCCAATTCACCCCCACACCAGAAATACCAAGAAGCTCCCAACACGGCAAACGAGCCCCCTAACACCACTAGCGGGCTAAGAATAACCATGAACACCCCGTATCCAAACCCATTAGCCGGGGAAAAGGAGCAGACTCAACACCGCAGCCCCAGCACCACCATCCCAAAAGCCAAAAACACCTGAGCCATTCAAGAGCCCAACCCACGAACCATAGAACACCGCCAGCCGCAGACAAAAGAAAACCGAGACAAGAGCGACAAGAAAGGAAGCTTACTCTCAATCGAGACCGACAACCGACCAATTGTCAACCAAAAGCTCGCCGCCTTCACTCACCAGTCCGCCGGCAAAAAGGAACATAGCAGTCCGATAACTCCAACACCCCGCGGCGACCGGAAAGCACTCCGTTTGGGGGCTAATTCGGGGAGAGAACCTCCTGATAAACCCAAGACCTCCAACTTGAGAAAGAGGACCGACAAGGTCGCACCCGACCCTGACCCAAGTCACAACGACCCAAGGTCCCTCCTCAGCACCGAAGTGGCCATCAATGGCGAACCCTAACCCGATTTTCGGAGAAAGTAAATTAGAGTTGGCAACCACCAGGACAACCGGCACCAGAGGCGAAGCAGGGTTGCGGCATCAGGGAGCGCCGAGTGGCGAGGGGGGGGACTACCGGAGAGGAAGGAAACCAAGAGAGAAGCGTCGATTCACAAAACTTTGCGACGAGAAGAAGAAAGGGTTTAGGGGTCGCGGAGAAGAATGTTATTTTCCCACGTATGATTATATGTTGGAATATAACAATTTTTGTGTGGTGTGTGTATTCAAGTTAAATGTGATGTGTGAGAATGACTGATTGATATCATTTAATTGTACTGATAATATTGGGAAGAGTTGTGTTACTTTAAATTTAAATTTGATTTTGAGTTAAACAGTGTAAAAAAAAAATTATCCGATCATTTAAAATGGAATCATTTCTATAGCAAATTGTGAATAGAGCCCGACTAGAATACTATTACTCTCCAAACAACTTATGTTGTATCAAGAAACTCCAATTTATGTAATAAAAATGATATTTTAACTTTTAATTTGTTGTATGCAAAGACTGGATTCCAATTAAAAACAATGGTCAATATTAATTATAGACTGATTAAAATTGAGTTGAAACGTACCATTAATTGATATAAGTGGAGATTTAACTAACTGTACGTCCTATGAGTAATCAAGAGAAAATGATATATGAAGTCCTGAGTTTATTATAATAACCTAATATATAGATTGAATTATGTAATTTGAAAACTATATTATATATGCGACTTTTTTAAAACCAAGTGGTTGTTAAATCATCTACTTATTATTCTTCCCGTATCAGGAAAAAGCATTGTGAACACCAAAGTTTAGTTTACCTAGCAATTAAATTAAATAATTACAGCAAATCGTACTAGCTAGCTAGTAGGCTTCTGTGTTCATTACGACGAGTACAGAAAAACGTTCCGCGTTTTTTTTCTTTAAAATTGAAATTTATATTTTTCTCTATTTTTTACCGTGGACATTTGACTTTGTGTTATTTGGAGTCAGTTGGAAGTAAAAATGTCAAAACGGACAGGCGAGGTCCGCCATCCTAGCGGGCCTGAGAAGTGTATTGTAATGAAAACTTAAAAAATAAAAAACATTCTTTAAAAGAAAAGCAGAGGTGGAGCCCGAATTCGGTGGTCGGAGGCAGGAGGCAAGAAGACGAAGAAGGGAGGCAGTGGCCTGCGGCCGCGTGCAATTATTTTTTATGTGTAGTGTGTGTTTTTGCTTTCTATTATTGACTGAAAAAAATAAGAATAAATCTTGGTCATTTGATTTGATGAGATGATCTATTAACTAAATAAACAAAAAATATAACTTCATTAAGAACCCAAAATTGTGGGACCCACCACCACAAACCAAATCACACATGGGCCATATATACTGACACATCACCTCCCTCTTCTATCTCTCTCTCATACACACTCACACACAAAGTCACACCACATCAACACCACACACAATGGAAACACACGCACCCACATTCCTGCACACACTACACACTCATACGCACGTAACACACACACACACACAACCACACACAATATACACA